CTAAGCTGCTTTGATTTTTATTTTAAGGACATTTTTTATTAGCATTTTTATTTTTCGTAATTTCACTTTAAATTGTTTTATTTTTGACTGTCACACCCTAGTGGTGTAAATAAATAAATAAATAAATAAAAAAAAATAAATTTTTATTTTAATTGTATTTATTTGTGATAGTAACACCCCATATGTTCAAAGACAATTAAAAATGACTGGCGCCTTCTTTGCTTTTATACTATTATATTTATTAGAAATTGTGTCTTTTATACTGCTTTTATTCTTATTTTAAGTAATATACAGTTAAATTCTTTATTTAAATTATTTTATTAAATAGAGCTCTATCGTACATAAGTAGATCCCTTTAAAATAGAACCGTAACTAATTAAAGGACATCAATAGAGGTTTAATTTCAAGATAGTTGAAAAATAAAACTCCGTTGGGTAGAAATCCTCACATATATCCACAACTTAACATGAGTATCAGCCAAAATAGAGCCCAACCTGGGAGGACAGTTTTGGATAAATCTCTCCCAAATCCCTTCTTAAATGACTCATCCTTCTCAAAATTATTTTCTTTTTACTTTAAAACATTCATAAAAGCTTCAAAGAAATGTTAAAAATTTTATTACAAAATTAATAAACCGCTAAAATCATTTTCCGCTCTAGTTGTAGCTTTCGGGCGATCCCGTTGTATTAACAAGGGATGTAGAAGAGTACTACCTTTTTTACATTATTATTAGATTTATCTAATTTAGTAATCACAATGAGTATTTAATTAGCAAAATATCATCATTTAATGTTACACTTTTTTTTAAATTTGTAATAATTTTTAAGAGTGTTGTAGGCGACTGATTATTAACCGGTACCCCCGGTTTCCGATATTCTCCGGTTTTCAGTTGATTTATACCCTTGATATTCAGTTTCTGATTTTGATAACCTCCGTATTCATTGGTTTCGGTTTATTGGCCAAAAACACTGGTTTTCGAAATTCGGTTCGTTTAACCGACCTCCAACAACCCTATTTTCAAACGATAAAAAACGTCATTCAAAAAAACGTGTGTCCTTTGTTTTATTTAACAAACTACATTTACAGCAAAATACTTTTTGTAATCATCTGTTTTTCTAATCATATTTTTAGTTGTTAAAATATAAACTATAATGTACTCTGTATTATGATAAAAAGAGTACAATGGAAGCATATAAAAAGTATTTCAAAAAATTTTTTTCTATTCAAAATTTTTATTTTTGATTAATTTCTCATCCTAGGCCTACAGTGGCGGAAATCTAGTAAAGAAAAAATATTATTAGTAATATTTCTGAAAATTATTTTTTCAAGCATTAATAAGTAATCTCATTAATTACTCAATCCCTTATTAATCATCCCGGTATTAACCCCTGTATAACGTGCTTAAATAAAGCCACTTTTTAAGGATGGTTGAGACTGGTGCGGGGTATTGGGCATTTTAAAGCCGGCTTCTAGGTTTTCAAATATTAGCTATGGTTCCGGAACCGTGCTTTGGAGCTAGCTCACAGTTATGAGCTAGTATCATTGATTAACTCGCTGGGTGAGCTAGCTCAAACAGCACTGGTCGAGAAATAAAAAATTAAGAGCTTCGTGGAAGCTGTTGATTTACGAGATTTAGAGAGACTCGCTTAAATCTAGCCATTTTATTTTTATTTATAAGAATTTTTTTAATAAAAAATTTTTATAAAAATAAAATTTTCTTTAGTTCCAAGCTTCCTAAATTCCCTCTTTTATTCAATTATTTTATAATTAATCACCAAATAATTTTTAAAAATTATTTTTAGATATTTAATTAATTTATTTGTATGCACTAATAATTTATTAGTATTTAAAATGACTGATAAAATAATAATTACAACACAAACAAAATTAATAAATATTAAAAGGAGTGAAAAAAGGAAAAAGAAAATTAATAATTACAATTTACAAATGTTTGCAATAATTTTTGTTGCCAGCAGTTTAATGCTTTTGCTAACACTTTCAGTTGATTCATCTGATGCAATGCCTTTGAAAAGGAGAAAAAGGTGGCTGGAAAATTTTTTTTGAGTGAATTTTTTTAAATTTTTCAAAAAATTATGAAAATTTTTGAAATTTTCCGAAAAAAAAATTTTGAAAATTTTTTTAAAATTTTCTTTAAATTTTCAAAAAAAAATTTAAAAAATTTTTTTTTAATATTCAAAAATTTTTTTAATTTTCAAAAAAAAATTCAAAAAAATTTTTTTCAAAAATATATTTTTAAATGAAGTCTGTAAAAAATTTTAGAAAATCTTTTTTATTTTTTCAAAATTTTTTTCGGAAGATTTTTTTCGATTTTTTTTCAAAAAATTTTCGAAAAAGTTATTGTGAAATTTTTTCGATTTTTTTAATTTTTCAAATTTTTCAAAATTTTTTTTTTCAAAAAAATTTTTTCTTAAAAAATTCCTTAGAAATTTCCTTTTAAAAATTCTAAAAAAATTTTATTTTTCCAGTTATAATCTAAGAAAAGGCGGCCGTCTGGAAAGACATCATAGGAGAAGCTTAAATGATTGGGTTAATGCCGCAAAGCATTTGGACGGGGAAGACGAGAAAGTTGCTAAAAAGCATCCTCGACACAGTCACCGGCATAAAAAGTGAATTTTCTAATTTTTGGAAATTTATAAAATTTTATTTTACTTAAAGAAAAATTCCAAAAATTCACAAAATGGAGTTGGACCAAATTTTAAAACAAATGGATTCTATTGTGAGGCCTCGTTTTGGGAGATGATATTATGAGAGAGAGAATAAGATTGTTGACTATTAAAAATCATAAATATTAATCTCATCAAACCATTTGAAAACTTCGTTTATTTATAATGAAATCGAACAGAGCTGTTATGTTCGATTAAGCTGTTATCCTTGGTTACCGTAATCCCGAAAACACGTTTAACTCTTAAAACAGGGATTCAGCAAAATCTCCTCTTTCTGTTTCGAAAACAGCTCTGGTAACCAAAATTTCTTCATAGGCTGACTATAACTCAGAGTATTAGGGTTGTCGGTTCCTGAAAATTCTTCTGATATCCGAAACCGAACAGATAAATCATCGGTTCGGTTCGGTCCAGCCCGACAACCCTACTCAATATAATAAACCTCTGGGTATACATAACCTTATGAGAGCTGACTTAGTTCAGTGGAATCGCCTAATTTCGTTTCGTTTCGTGACTGAATTTACCGACCCAAGAAGGGAACTCAGTGGAGAAAGATGGCGTTATAGAGGGCTTCCACTGTACAAAATTTTTTTAAAACAGCTAAAACCCGTAAATTAGTAAAACGTCTAATAATGAATATTGTTACCACATTGACCTCATCTTTATTTTTTTTTGCCTACTATGTAAATTTCAATAATATGCCTTTCGTTTGAGCTTTACATTATTTTTCTTTTTGCTGCCTTATAAAAATATTATTTTCTAAAATATTGTTTTTATGTAAGAAATAATTTGAATAAATAAAAGTATCAGAGTTATAATTTTTGAAATACCCATAAATGATTAATTGAAAAATATTCCCTATGAGTCATGTATGAGTCAGAATTATTCATATTTTGTTAAAGCATTGGGGGTAAAATAATTCGAGGTTTAGTACACTAACATAAATTCATTCATAAAACTAGTGAATTCCTTTCCGTTATAAATTTTGTTTTGATCATTCAAGTTATCGGAAAGAATGTAAAATTTTGGAAAACATGTCTTTTCCAAAAGCAGCAATAAAAATTTTCAGATATCCAAAACCGAACAGAAAATTCTTAGGGATGATCAGTGTCTCAAACTTTCATCTTGACGAATTAGTAATGATACCATGCTGAAATTTCGTTACTTTCTGCGCCGTACGCCTTTGGTATTGAGCAAGCAACCAGTTACTATTAAGAGTATATTTATATATTTATTTTAATTTCAGTACTCAAGCTAATACAAAGCTGATGACGAAGAGAGTTTGTGCAATATCTCGGTAGAAATTGGATTGTTCGCCGCTGATAAAAATTGTCAAAACCAATTTCCGTTTCAAATAAATTTTAACCTTGCGCGCCTATGATAAGCTTGACAAAAATGGAGCCTGAATGCAGAAAGACACCTAATCTTGTTGAATTATTCTAATGTATTCTGGCCTTTAATGATCGAATATGTTGTCAGGAAAAAGTAAATAAGGCCATTGAAACAGTGAGGCAAAATTGTCATCAATTAACCGTTCCCGTCTACGATTTATCCAAGGAGATGTGCAAATACTCAATGGACGTAGCTGTTAATTTGGCAGAAGCAGGATGTTATGAAGCAACAAAAATAGCTAGTTGAAAAATTTTATCAGTGTGATACGAAGCTTTTGGAATCAATCAAAGCAGAAACTGAAAATATGGATACTAAAATATTATAGATAATTCTGAAATTATTATTTTATAATTTTCATAAATGTAGATATCATAAAAGTAGATACTAGAGATCGGTCTTGATCTGGATCCAGTCTAGATTATTTCTCGATCCAGAGTCAAGATCCAGGCATTTTTTAATCGTCCTGGATTTTTCCTGGATCCAGATCAAGAATCCTGTCCAGGTTACTAACCTAAATCCAGATCCAGGATTTCTGAAAATATCAATCTCTAGTAGATACTAATAAAATTTCAAATCCAAATAACTTTTTAAAATTCGATCTGAATTGAAACTAGTTGACCAAGTATTTGATTTTAAAGTAGGCTGATTTCTAGCCTCGCTTTAAAATAATTTTTCTCCCTCTATGCTAAAAACATTTTTAAACATTATTTATTTTTATAAGCCTAGAAGGGCCTAGTTTAGGCAAAGGATTATTTTCTTTTCAAAAAAGTTTTGTTTATTTTGTAGCTACAAATCTTGGAATAGGAGAGGAAAAGAAAAGTTAAAAAGGGGATTGAGAAATCCTATAGAAAAAAATAAATTTAAACATATAAATTTTGAAAGAAGCTTTTTTGAACTCCTTTAAAAATTAAAAAAAATACTCCAAAAATGGGGTCATTATTAACTCGTTGTAGCAAATCCCCTCAAGAAGCTAATGAAGATTCTGTTGAAAAATCGCTTATAACAACCAAAATCAAGAAAAGTGAAGTAGAGCATTTTAAGAGGGACAAAAATCTACAAAAATTAATAGCTGGGGCTCATCCTGAGGAAGTTGGAGGGATTAGTGCTTATTTACTACAACATATGAATAGGTGTAACTTAAAAATTTTTAATGACTATGGGGAATTTTGAAAGTGATCGTGTGATCCGGTAAAGGACTGGCTCGTAGCCGGTGTGGAGATCGCTCTTAAGATCCTGAGTGATACCGAGAGATGATGGGAAATCTACGATCCTGACTGATACCGAGAGATGATGGGAAATTTTAGAAAATAACCTTGGGTTATCGTAAAGGAGAAGGGTTTACAACCTATGGTCCTTCCTAATCCTCACAATCCTCGAGATTTTCCCCAAATACATTTAATCTCTCAATAGCTCTCTTAATCCTCCAAATCCCCCGATATCAATAACACGTAAATCCCTTGTCGCACTTTAAAAAAGCATCCCTGGAAAATCTGAAAGGACGAAAATCAAAAAAAAATTCCATTTCAAAATACTCGAGATTAATCATATTCAAATATTAATTTATTTTTAGAGATCTAGATAGAGGAAGTTACAATAAAGTTGAGGTAAGATTGTTTAAACATCTACATACTCTAACTGAAATTTTAAATTAATTTAGATATCAGTTAATATTATTAATTTATTATTGGATAATTGTCGGAAGGTTTCAAGCTGGACAGTGTTAGTCCAAAATTATTTTGAAATGGTAAAGAGACTTTTGCAAACAGAAGAAGAAAGATTGGAATCATTGGGCACAGAATTATTTCAACGGTAAAAAAATAAGTAGAGTTATTATCAAGTAGGACTGGATAAGGGATGGGCTGTATTTTGAAAAGCACAAATGGAAGGCGAAAGATAATGGAAGAAAAAACGGAAACTAAAGACAAAAGAGGAAGAGCCAAAATAGACGGAAGTAGGCTGAAGAGGAAGCTCTCTCTCATTCTTGGATTGAAAGCCATCCCCTGGTTGGACCTTGAAAATTCTGAGTTTTTTTTGGATAAATGAGTAATCCGATGCTTTGACTAAAAATAGGATTTCGACATGCTAATACAAACAAATCCGTTACAAAAATTTACATTTTTACTAAAGACAGAGAGGAAAAGCCAAAAATGATGGAAGTAGGCGGAGGATAATAGCTTTCACATTACTGGATTGAGATCCATCCCTTGGTTGGACCTTGAAAATTTCGGGTCTCCTTGGATAAATGAGTAAATACTAGAAGATTGAATGGATTAGGTAATCAACAAATCAGTCCATCAAAATCCCCATTTAAAAAAATACTAATAAAAATTAAAAAAAAATTTTAAATTAAAGACATATTAATCTTCACTATGATGTGGGAAACACATTATATAAGGAATACAATATTATAGCCAAAAAGTTTGTTGAATTTATGGGAAGGGAAAATGAAAATACTCGAAGATTGAATGGATTTACTGGAATTAGTGGTAAAATTTGTAAAAAAATTATTTAATTATAAACTTAACGATTTAGTAATGTGCACAAATTTGCTATTAAAAAATATTTCAAAAAATACCGATAAATGGAATATAATATTATTTAAAAAAATTTTAGAATTTTTACTTGGGGAATTATTTTATACATTAAAAAAAGAAAATTATTATGTTGGTAGGTTTTAAATTAATTTTATAAATTAATTAATAAATCTCTAAAAATTCCATAATATTTATAATTGTATTAATGCTCTGTGATAGTAACACCCCATATATTCAAAGAGAATAAAATTAATGGAAATTTAGCTTTGTTTTTATACTAGTTTGGAAGGTTTAGTCTTCTACTGCTTTTATGCTATTTTCTAGTGAGCGGACCGCACTGAATCTGGCCGCAATTTTCCGAACTTCCGGTCCCAACTCCGGGGGTTTTCTTGTTATCTGGATTATTTCAGGAACGTATTTACTCATAAATATTCGGCCGGATCCGTTTTGGCTTGAACGCCAAATTCACTATTCATTCTTCTCTCTCTCTATCTCTCTTCCTCAAAAGAGCCTTCCTGAGCTACCAAAGGATCTGGCCGGATTTTACCTAACTTCCGGTCCCAAATCCGGGGTTTTTCGCGTTATTTGTATTATTTCGAGATTGTATTTACTCAAAAATTCGGCCAGACCCGTTTCGGCTTGAACGCCAAGTTCACTATTCCCCCTCTTTCTTATGCTCTCTCTTCCTCAAAAGATCCTTCCTGAACGGCCCAATGGATCTGGCCGGATTTTACCTAACTTCCTGTCCCAAATCCGGAGGTTTTCGCGTTATCTGGATTATTTCGGGATTGGATTTACTGATAAAAATTCGATCAGATCCGTTTCGGCTTGAACACTAAATTCGCTAATCTCTCTCTTCCTTAAAAGATCCTCTAAATATTATTTAAAAATTCAAAAGTAGAAGAGAACTAACCTAATTTTTGTTTAATTTTCAGAAGAAACTAAACCCGAACCAGACCCAGAACTTGCTGAACCTTTAGTCAATTTTAACTCAATAATTATTGCCTACATTCGCGAGTTGGTTATTCGATGTAATATTGAGAATTTAGTGTATGGATTTTGGAAAAATTTAAAAAATTAAATTTCTTGATTTCCCCAGGATCATAGTTAACACAATATTCACCTATTTGAGTAATTCCAACTTGTGGAACTGTCGAAACGAATTTATTACAAATTTATTTATTACTATAATGGACGAATCTAGTGAAGAAAAATTGGATGTATTCCTGCATGTATAGCAGAAAATAATAATTTTTTAAATTGAAAATTTTAGCGTCTTATTATTCATATTAAAAATATACAGGATAGTTCATCTACTTTTGAACTTGTTGGAATTGCCAAATTTATGGCAAATTTTGTTACTTTATTTGGTAAAGAAATAATTTTTAATTAAGTTATGAATGAAGTTGAAACTTATTATGGGACATTGTTTTGGGGCTGGAAAAGTTATCTTATAATGAGAGCTATCTTAATGAGAGGGGGGGTTTAAGGGAGGGTAACGCTCATAATAATACTGCCCCTACTAATTTTAAATAACAAAGCTTAAACTGAGGAGTATTTAGTATTGGATGTATGAATAGGGTCATATTAAATAGGTGGTATCACTTAAACAAGTTCCCGCTAAATAAGGACTGCTGAATTCTAAAAATCTGATCTTAAACTCAGGAACATTTATTATTTAGATCTTGCATATAATGGGTTGAAAGGGTATCTTAACTAGGAGGTAACTTTTATGCAGAATCCAAAATCACTTGTCCATACAAACTTCATACAAGCTCTATCTTATAACGATGCCCGACAATATTTTGAAATTATTTTTAGAAAGGCATCAAGAGACAGATTTACAAAGATCCGTAGTTTCATTCAGTCCAGACGCCTCAAAAATAAATACAAAAATAAAAAAGCAAAATTTTATGGATATTTTGGAATTGATCCAAATGTCAATTGAAATGAGTAAAACAAGAAATGATATAAAATTAATTGGAGAATATCAGGTAAATTGATAGAATTTTTAAAATTAATCCTTTTAAAGGACAAACTGATTGAAACAACGAATAAATTGTCTTGTGCGATGCCTAATAAATTAAAAATAAATTCGGTAATTACTAGCGGTACTTCAATGCCTATCATGATTGCCGAAAAACCGTTTTATTTGACGTAAGAAAATAGTGAAGTAAATAGAAGGGAATAGAAAGGCTTTAAAAATTATTAGAAACCAGAAGAATTCCGGAAAACAGTTAAAGAAATTATATTTAATAATTCTGAATAGTAATTCTGATTAGTTTATTTTTATTCTGTTTGTATAATAAAATATAAAAATCAGAATTATATTTATTTTATAAACCGGAAGCATTCCGGAAACTAATATATGTATATGCATAGTATTTGTAATTTGAATCAGAATTTCTAATGCATAATTATTGACTATTTTATTATTTCAGAATTATATTTATTTTAGAAACCAGAAGCATATTCTGACTTTATTTCATAATGTAATATAATTTAATTGTAATTCAGATGCCTAATTCTGATTATTTTATATTTCAGAATTTATGTCAGATTATAATCTAATTCTGATTTTATTTCTGAATTAAGTTTAGAGTATTTATTTCAGAAACAGGAATTATCCCAGAAACTAATATATAATTTTAATTCTGATTTGTAATTCTGATAATTTTATTATTTCAGAATTAATTTCAGAATTTAGTTCAGAAACAGCAAGTATCCCAGAAACTAATACCTATATAAGTAATTTTAATTTTGATTTGTAATTCTGATTTTATTTCAGAATTAATTTCAGAATTTAGTTTATAAACTGGAAGTATCCCAGAAATTAATATACCTATAATTTTAATTCTGATTTGTAATTCTGATTTAATTTCAGAATTAAATTTAGAGTATTTATTTCAGAAGTCAGAATTATTCCGATATCTAATAGAATTGTAATTCTGATTATTTTATTTTAAATATTATATTATTATCTTAATATACTATAAAAATCAAAATTATTAAACAGAACAATCCCGGAACCTAATATACTCTAATAATTTTAATTCTGATTTTGTATTATCTTATAAAAAATTAATTTGAGTCAATGACGTAACAATATTACACCAATATGTCCATACAAAAACACAACTTTTCCGTTGATTGATAAATACCTATTCATATTCTACTCTTGTAAAAATAATTAAATAAAATTCAAAAGAAAATGCGCAATTGGCCAAACATTTTTTAAAAAATTTTTTTATTAATTTTTTTCTAATTTTAATCTTCAACGTTAAAATATTCCCCACTATAGGTCAACTCAATCAATTCTGAGCAAGTTTAAATTTGTTCGTTAAATTGAAATTAAAACTTGTTTTGTGTTGTTCTAGGCAAAATAAAAGATTGAAATAATTAATTTTGTTAAATTTAATATTTATTTTTTAAATGAAAATCTTATTTTTAAAAATAGGGTTTTAAGTATTTAATACTTTTTTAATCATATGTATCAGGGATTCTGTCAACAAATAAAACAAAATTCCGGTTTCGGGAAATCGGGATCCCTTGTAAAATAAATCTCTTGATTTCAAGAATCGGGAATCACGACCCAAAAAACATAGAGAGATCGTGAATTTAGGGAAATCGTGAATCTAGGTTGTTAGGATCCCTGATATGTACACTCGGTCCATAAAAGATAAACTAATAGAAGATATGTACACACAATAGACTCTACGTTCATTTCAATATTCAAACCTGGGGGCTGTCGTAAATGATAAAGGTGCCGGAAATAGTAACTGTAGGAAATCTGGAGGGCTTAAGACATGGAACTAGGAGATGAAATTTCTGACTGACATCTGTCCCAAACCGCTGGGTGTGGAAATTGTCTAAGCGATACCTCCAATTTAACTACAACAGATTATAAAACACACCTGTTAAGCCCCAAAAGTGTATAAGGTCCAAAATAATTAACTTTATAAAAAGATGTTTATTTTATTAATTTATCAATTATTGATAATTATAATATCATCAGAAGCTCAATTTAACTTGAATCAACTTGGACTTGGAAATTTAGGAGGGGCATTGAATGGGTTACTTGGGGGAGGACAGAGACCGCAACATAACCCTCAACATAACCCTCCTAATCAACAACATAATGGTAAATAATTTTAAAATTTTTACGAGTGCTAGGTATGGCTTATAGCTTAGGTATGGCTTCATAGCCGTCTCCAAAAGCCGAAGCTAAAATTTTAATCAGATGCCAAGCACTCATATTTCCCTCAATTTATGCCCATCCCGCCCTTTATATATTTAAAATTAATTTTTTAAAAATTATTTTGGGTCGCCGAAATTTTGGAAAATTTTTGCATGGCTCTCCTAACAACAAAAATCGTGGATTTTCTGGCAACAAGCACTTTAAACAACCCAAACAACACAATCCAAACATATGGAATTTCCCAAAT